TATTAAAGTTTAGCTTTATAGTTTATTTATAATAAACTTATAGTATTACTATTTAAAATTAATTAGTTTAAAAATTTATTAAAACTATAGATTTTAATTTATTATAATATAAGTTAATTAAAATTATTAAGCTCCTTTTAATTAAATAGTATTTTTTATTAGTAAAGAGGTAAAAGGTTACTATATTTTTTTAATTATTTTCTTAAAAGACTAAGTAAGTATTATTAATATTTTATTATCTTAAAGCTTAATATACCTAAGTTAAGCTAACTAAATTATTATTAAGGGGATTTAGTAAAAAACCTTCTTTAGCTTTTAGTATTTAATAATTAATTAATTAGTAGCCTTAGTATTAAATATTATTAAGTATTAGTAAAAGTAATATTATTTAACTTAGTATTTAAGAATACTTATAACTTATTAATAAAATAACGCTTAAGTAAACTTTAAACTTTTTTTAGTAATTAATCTTTTATTATTTTATTAATTAAATAATATTATTAACTCTTTAATTAGTTATAATTTTCTTATACTTTTACTTATTTTATTTAATACTAAGTTTAATTTTTAAGTCTAATTATTATATTTAGTAAGGGTAATATAAATATTTATTATAATAATAAAAGTATACTCTGCCTATATTAAGGGATTAATTAATTCTTTATAGTAATTTTTTAGGATTATAAAGTATTAAGGTAGTAAAAAAAGTTATTTTTACTTTAGGTTTTTCTTAAAAAAAAAGTTTTCTTAATATTAATAAAATTCTTTTAGTAATATTATTCTTTTTCTTTATTATATTACTATATTATTAATATATTTTCCTTATAAAAAAAGTTTAAAAAAATAATTATTTTTTTATTAATATTAAGTAACTTTTCTATACTTTTTAAGCACTTTATTATCTTTTTTACTATTTTACTTAATTTAATTTTTAAAGTTTTTAAATATTCTAGGTCTTTTAAGTACCTTAATTAAATAATTAAAATAAAAGTTTAAACTATTTCCTTTTATTATCCTTTTTTTTTTTTTTTAAAAAAAAGGGTAAAAGTTTAGTCTATAATTTAAATAATAACTTAATAAAAAGTATAAGTTTTAGCAGCAGCTAAGGGGTACTTTCTATTACTTACTTACTTAATTTTCTTACCTTTAGATAATTAATTAATACCTTTGCTTTATTTTAGCATTAACTTCCTATATTTACTTCTATAGTATTTAATTATAAACTCCTTTATTTTAGTCCTTATAAATACTAGTATTTATATAAAATAGTCCTAGGTTTTTATTTATAGTTAAAGTAATAAAGCTTTTATAATATATATAGTAAAGCCTAGGTTTTAATAATTAGCCTTTCTTATAGATTAAATAATAAAGTAATAGAAAAAACCCCCTGTTTTAGTTACTATTTTATTAATAGCTAGGGAATATACCTTTAAACTAGGCTATTAATACCTAAACACCTTTATAAGCCACCTAGCTTATTTAGCCATTATAAAAACTATAGCGCAAAAATAAAATTACAATATTATTTAATCTAGCTACTGCAGCCTTATTCTAACTAAAACAAAGCCGCTATTTTAGCTAGGGTTATTTTCGTTATAATAATATATCTTAATTTTTCTATTTAGCCAGAGGAAATATTCCTTATTTTATATTACTAAGCTAGCTAAAGCCTAGCTTAGTTATTTATCCTAGCTAGCACTAACCGCTAGTCACAGACCTAATTAAAAATCCCTATTAAACTACTACTATTTACTAACTTTTATTATTAAAGTTATAAAATATTTATAAATATATACCTTTTTCTTAGGTATAAGCTAAGCTATATTTTTACTTACTTTATTATTTTTCTTAGTTTTCCCTTTATACTTATTACCCTATGCCTATACTATTATAACTTTCCTACTATAACCTATTACTATATTTCTTTTTTTATTTATAACTTATACTTATTTTATTTATATATAGCTATAGCTTAACTTATTACTTAATTACTTTAATATACTTTATTATATTTTTATAATTTACTTATTTATATAATAAAATTATTATATAATTACTATTATATTTACCTTTATAATTATATTTTATATAACTACTAATTATATTTTTTTATTAATAACTACTTTTTTAATTTATAGCTTAAATATACTTAATTTATAAATAAAAAAACTTATAGCTATATACTTAGTTTAAATTTATATTTAGGTTAATTATAATTAATTATAATATACCTTTTTATAACCTTATATTTTTAATTTTACTTTATCCCCGTAAACTTAATAAAATAAAACTTAAGTTTATAATATATTTAATTATATTACTTATTATTCTTAATACTTTAATTTATAAGCTAATATAACCCCTTTATAATACTATAATATAATAACTATAGCTTTTTTAATTTATAATTTAAAAATACTTTATAATACTTTTTATTATTTTCCTATTTATAAATTAAATATACTTATTATAAAAATTAAGTAAAATAACCCTAACTAATTTTACTTAGGTTTAGATTTAGCTAATTATAGTAGTTATTTTAGTTTATAGTTATTTTATTTTAAATAGTTTATACACACCTATTATTTACTAGTGTTTCTAAGGTTATTAAACTTAAATAACTAATAAATTAATAAGTAGGGATAAACCTTAGAATAGTTCTATAGTTTATATTAGTAAAGTAGTTAAGTTAGTAAGTGGGTAATTTTATTATTAGTAGTAAAGAGAAGTATTTAAGTATTTAATCTTAAATATTATTATATTAATAATAACTAATTATCTAAGTATTTTAATAAGTAATATAAAGTAAACTTATATATTTAGTTATATATTTTAAATTATAATAAAAAGCTAGTTTTCCTAGCTTTTTTATAATAAATTATTTAAAAAGTTAGCTTTCCTAATTTTCTTATTTTTAACACATAATAGTCTTAATTAATTTATTAGCCTATAGTTAATCTAATGTATCCTACCCTATAGGCCTATTATTATAACTATAAGATCTAAGTTATAATACTCCATATACTTAACTTAATTTAACTTCTTTAAATTATTAATACCCTATATAATAATATAAGTTATTTTCTTTAGCTAAAAATATTTTAATTTATAAAAATACTTTATTTTTATATTAATAACTTTATATTTTTCTTTAGCCTTCTTAAAAACTTCCTTATATTAAGTATAAAAAAAAATAATTTTATAAAATTAAGTTATTAATAAAGGGTAAGTATTATAAAAAGACTTATTATTTTTTATATACTTAGTATAATAAATAAAATCCTTTTTAAATATTTAATACTTAAGGAATTAATATTTCTTTTTATTTATATAATAAATATAGTTTTTTATTTTAATAAAATAAAATAAAATAATTTTTAATAAAATATTCTTATACTTAGTCTTAGGATAAGGTTTTTTATAAATACCTAATATAATAGTTAATAAAAATATATACTTACTAAAGAAATAATTAATTAACCTAGGGTAATAAAGGGGAGTAATTACTTATACTAAATAAAATAAGGTCTTAAGAATAAAATTAATAAAAGGGGGATATTATATTATAACTTAATACTTATAATTATAACTAAGGAGCTTATATACTAGGCACCACTAGATTAAAGTTAATCCTTTTAATTAATTAAAAAAAAATTAAGAAATATTCTTTTAATTTAATATAGGATTAATAAAATAAATATTAATTTATAAATAAATTAATAAATTATTTATTAATTTAGTTTAGCACAGCTAGATATATAAGTTTTATTCTTTACGCTTATTTAAAATAGTTAAATAACTAGTTATAAATATAAAATAATACTTAATTATATTTACAGAAATATTTTCTATAGTTATATAAATACCTTATACTTAATTCCTTATTAATTACTTACTAATCCAGCCTGGCCTATTTATTAATATAAACCTAGCATAAGGTTTATCCCTTGGGAAATTCCTTTTATACTAACCCTATAGAAGCTTAGCTTATTATATTTAAGGTTTATCCCTTAGGAATAACTAACTTATATTAACTTATAAAAACTCAGTTTATTATAACTTCTTAATTAGTTACGCAGTTTAATATTAATCTAAAAGTGCTTACCCTATAGGCCCCTTATTGCAATTATAAAAGCTGGGTTATAATATTATATTATATTATAATACCTTTTTTTTTTTTTTTTAACTTTACCCTTTTTTTATTTCCTTTATAATTAAATAAGTTAATAACTTAAATAATATATAAAGGTATTATAATAAGCTAAGTAAATATTTATAGCTTATAAAAAAAAAGGCTTTTATACTTTTATATTAATTACTTTTTTTATATTTATAATTATTATATAAATAAAGGATATATACTTTATATTTATTATTTATTATATATAATAGCCTTAAGTAAGTATAAACCTATAGCCTTAAGTAAACTTAGGAGTTAATAAGTAAATACTATTTAATTACCCCCTGGGTTTTACCTTTATAAAAAAAGTTAAATTAGTTAGCCCTTACTAAGCTAGGGTACTAGGGCTAATAAGTAAATATTATTCAATTAGCGCCTAGTTAAATATTTTTTAGTTATAAGTACCTAAAGTTATTTTTATTATAATAATATATTTTAGTTTTTTTATTTAACTAAAGGAAATATTTTTTATTTTATATTACTAAGCTAACTAAAGCTTAACTTAATTATTTATTTTAGTTAATATTAATTCTTAATTTTAAACTTAATTAAAAATTCTTATTAAACTATATTTTTAATATAATAGCTTTTTTATATTATTTTATTTTAAAATATAATACTTTATATAATATTAATTATAATACTCTTTTTAAAAAAATTATTAAATAATTATATATAAGGCTTATATAATTATTTCTTTTATTTAATATAAAGTATTTTAAAATAACTTTTTTAAAACTTAATTTAAGGTATTTACGCAATATAATTATATATATATACCTTTTTTCTATTTAATACTATATATTAAATAAATCACAATTTAGCTTAATTTTAATTCAGCTTCCTTTCTCTCCCAAATAGTATTAATTATAACTATTTTTGCCAAAAACATAGGCATAAAAGTCATTATAGCCTGTTGCAACGCATGTGCCCAATGGCCAATAATAACCCCATGGCCATAACCAGCGCGATCCAGCGCTATTCGAGCCATTGTATTAGCTGTTGGCGTAAACAACGACGGAGACTGTTTATTGTGCGATACGCCGGTGACGTTACCAACGCGGATCCCTAAGCACTCAATGCCTGTTTTGCCCGCGAACGCAACTTCCAGGTTTATAGTACGCGTTAAGGTCATTAAAAATTGTTTGCTTGCACTATAAGAGGCAAGCAAAGGAAGGCCGGCGTCAGCCAGGGAACTGATGTTCATAATCAAGGCAGGCGAGTTTTCCGCTAGATGCGGAAGAAGAACACGAATCAGGTGCAGAGGAAACAATGCGTTAACACTGACATTCTCAGTAATGCGCTCCTCGGAACTGTCGCCCAGCGAGAGGTAGACAGGATCCCTGGAGCCGCCACCCGCATTGTTGATCAGGACGGTGAGATGCAAGTCTTGAAGCGCGTCTTTGATAGCATTGAAGTCTAACTGGTGTTGCGACTCATTCTCTCCACCATGTAGGCAATTCACGCACTGCACCTTGCTAGCGTCTGCGACCAGAGTTCGAAACAACGTCTGTGGGTGTTTCTTTTGCAGCTCAGACTTCACTAGGTCAAGTTTTGCCTTGTTGCGGCCGTGGAGAACCACATTGAAACCGCGTAACGCGAGCTCTTCAGCAAAGGCGCGGCCAATGCCATCAGATGCGCCTGTTACCAGTGCCCACGGAGGACTGCCATCGGTGGAAACATGTGCATATTGCTGCAGCTTCGAGGGGAGGATATAGACCTTAACAGCAGAGAGGACATTGATAGCAAGAGCGGCAACCGTGACTGCGCCGATGGACGCAAAGAGACGAGAAGAGTTCATCCTGGGGAATGAAGTAATATAAGCAAATGCGCAGCTTAGGGGAAGCGCAATAGTCTGGAACTAAATGGGTAAAATATATATATGCCTAGGTAATATGAAGGCTTTGCGATGGATCGCGGAGATCAACTTCATGTATGTTCGTCGCTTTGTTAGAGAAGACAAATATAAACAGCGGGGTGAGTACAGAGTAGGAAAAATATTATATAGCCTGGCAATCTTACGACCTAGTTTCTTATGTCACATCATGTATGTACCGCAGGTGAGGGACAAACTGATTAACTAATTACTAATAAGCGTCGGCTATAAATACTACCTGGGCAGTTCATAACGTCCACCTTCAATGGCCGAAATCGAAAAACTGCGCCGACCATGTCATCGAGTCCACTATTTCCGCTGGCCAATAGCAGTTTGTTGATATCAGGCCGCCTGACGTGAGTAAATGTTGCCCGTAATCACTGGTATAGGGCAAAGTTGACACTGTATCTGGATGAGACACATGACTCTGAAATCCCGGAGAGTTCTCAGATGATTTCTCAACCTCTTGAATACTTCTCGGAGTCCCGCTGCTGGCGTCTTCTGCAAAGATTTAGCAAATACAAGTCAACATTCATAGGCGCTTTACTCACCAAATCTCACTCCACACTCTTTCAAAGCTCGCATCATATCCCGCGCGATCCTCGCTCCTGGTGACTTTATACTGAGGGCATCGAAAACCTTGAGACATGTTTCTGCGTCGTCATATAAACCGGCAGTATCAAACTCAGACGACAATTCAAGCGTCGCTTCGGTAAACATGCTAGATACTAGCAGGATAGAGCTAGCGCATACTAGACATGATATCATCTACCACCATGGGAATCCATAAACCAGTTCCTCTTTGCTGGAGACGCCATGTAGCAATCGTGCAGTCTCACGCGCTTCCGAAATACATGTTCTCTCGTATCAGCGTATCAGCGGCCAATCTAGCTGGCTAATAGTGGCAGTTGGATCGACCAGGTGCATCAGAAGCGGGTGACACAGATACGGGCGGTAGATGAGAGCCCTGAGATAGTGATACTTTATGGCCAGCATGTTTCGCTACCCAAGATTAGAAATTGAGACTGCGCGAGTGTCTGCAATTCTAGCGAAGCGGTAAAAGAACTTGCCTGTCTCTTGAAAATATGTAATTGCTCAAATGTATGACCTAAATCAAAACGAAGAGCTCTTGGGAGGGCTAATTTCCATTCCACAAGTTGTCGATCGAGGTCTTTCGTGGTGAGCAAATCCTCCGAGGCCAAATGACTTCTCCTAGGGCGATATAGGCTCCGGAGAACTCGCCCGACAATTCCCGAGAAGGTATCTACTTTAAGAAAGTAATCCCCCGATGGTGGATTGTTATTGTTTCTCTCTTCAACGAGCTCGCCTGCCCAATCAATCTCGGTGTCGCTGGCTTTAGTGGGCAATGGGACATTGAAATCATCATCATGGATCGCTGGGGGCCGACCAAGCTGTAATGAAAGAAGTCGATCCAATACATAGATAGAATACCATACGCGGCGCCGCTTTTCAGTCTCTGGGGAATGACTGGGTTTTATATCGCCCACTTCTTCGTTTTCTATATGCAGCCCAATGCTTTGAGCTACACGAACGGCTTGGCCAAGTATTGTCCAACAACTATAACTGTTAGTGCATCCTTGTATTATCTGACTAACATATAGAACTAACCTTTCTGTCCTGCATACAACCAGGAGGTAGAAGCATCTCGCCAAAAGGAGTACGACGTGGCAGAGTGATCGTTCCATGTTGGAAGTTGGCGCTAAAGTTAAAGCGTATAAGTAAAGTTTCTCGTGCAGCGAACCTACACTTTCGTCCTTGCCAGGCAAGGTTGTATAGTAGGCCCCAATAGCGCAAATTGTATCTGTCAGGTTAGAATAAGCACGCAGAGCATTTTGGGACACCGAACTAACATGATAGCGCTGTCTCGAAGATGCCCTTGCAACTCTGGGCTTGGGGAGTGGTATGACCTTCCAGCGCCTTATAACTGTGTATAAAAGGCGACTCAGGAATGAAAGGGTAAGCAATATGAATAGTGGTGAAATAAGCATTAATATAATGCTTAGCCTCATCAAAGACAGGTAGCAAGATGGTGGAACAAGAGGGCTTATCAGACGGTAAGAAGCTCTCTCCTTGGTCATAGCTCTCAAGATCTTTTTGCGTCATCGCGGTTCCGTCTTGGGTTTGCAGAATTCTTTTCACAAGATTAACAAAGCGAATATCGCTAACCTCGCCCAAGTAGCCTGGAGACTGATCACTACGGCTAGAAGGTGATGTGCTACGTGACTCGTTAGCCACTGCTTGCGGTAAAACTTCAGCCTTCGTGCTAGAGATGGCGTTATCAAGCTGCGATTTGACACTGGCGTCCTTCAGAAGAATCGCTTCTTGTTCTGGACCGGACGGTAGGAGAGAAATAACGTGATCCAGTAATCTTTCTTGTACTTGTATTGCATCACATAGGTCCGGTAGCCTCTCGGAAATGCTCTGGTTGAAGCGGTCGTCTGCTCCTGTCCGTAGTCGAGGACGCTGCAAGCGATAAACGCAGATATACCCGTAGCCCTGGCATCTACTACATGCCGGCCGTTGTCCGTCACACTAAGAAAATATCAACAGCTATGGAAGTGTTAGGTTAGGCCGCTGCACCCGGACTATTTACCTTTGATTTCATAGACCTGCATTTCTGACAGGCTTTGGCAACCCGCTTACGCTTGTGTTCAATATCCATACCTCACGGTTTCGCTCGCTTCCCTTCGATGCAGTATCTTTGGGAGGAGTAAGGGGTTTTGCGTCCGCTGTTCGGAAATGTCGGAATAAAAAAGAATCGGGCATAGACCTGAACAACGCTTAATAGGCATGCTATATTCACAAATTTTCATCAAAGAATGGCCAGCAGAAGTTCATAACGGATATGTCTGTTGCAATATTGTAATGATTTGATGTAGTTCGTCCAGCCGCAATGGTCATATGTTCTCGACAACTATAACTGGATTTTGGTTAACGTATACTTGTCCCAAGCGGAAATACCGGCAAAAGTTATTGCATTAGAACACTATTAGGGGAAGACTGACGTCAAAGCGTGGCTAAATTATTCGGCCTTTCACATCATCGCCGCACTGTCCCCTACGACCCAGAAGCAAATATACTGTATCCCATTGTAACGTTATCCGCACGGTAAAAGAATTGCAATGGTTCTGTTACTATAAATGACGGGATTACATGAAGTCAGAGAATGCTGCACAGGCCAAGGCATACTACCCTGGCGAACTAATGCATGCATTAAGAAAATCTGTACAAGTACATTCAGTCTATGAGTCCACACTATTCCGTAGGCAGTAGCACTTAAGCAGAATCAGCCGCTCATAACTCCATAGACGACATTGCATACCACTTCCAACTTGAAGTTAAACCTCCTCCGTTAAGCACATCCTTCGAAAATACAAGTTATTTACTCCCGCTTTCAACGGACACCACTAGGGACTATTACGACTCGAATGAAATACACCCGATTGAAGCCATGGCGAAGATAAGCGCCTTCTGTGGGATATACAAAACGAAGAGAGTAGTAAGGATAGGTAGCTTAACACCCTCGACCCTTAGCGCCTTTACTTATTAGCGAAAGGGTCAACTTGGAATGAGAGGTATTTTAATTGTTTCTCTAGAGGAAGTACCATCTGCGCCGTCATAGTAGGCGCTTAGATTGAGATTCACCTCGGACTGCATACCTTGCTGACCACCCCACCAAACCCCTTTACTTAGATATCCTAATATATGAGAGCCTATGCCCTTGATATTTACAGACGAGATCATTGCTTAATAGATCATTCAGGTGATAGGCGATAGTGTTATAATGATACTAACATTTTTATTTTTGCTCCATATCTAATTGAAACTGAGCCATGACATATCTATTTGATACTTACATTATGCGGTAGACGTAGTGTGTTCTTGTCGAATTATCTAAAAAGCCGAACCCTAGCCTGTATATCCGGTATAGCCAACAAGCTTGCCACAAATGTAAGACAGAGGTCACAGGGAGACCTCGCGGATTGTTTAGAGAAGAGTATAGTTTATTCTTAATTACCTACGAAATCGATTGTTTCACTAAATCACAAAACCTTATTTTTACTTTGCTGTTGATATTATTACCTTGAGTATCTCATTCAATTTACATTGCCGCTAACGATGAAGTTAGCACTACAAATAGACAATGGAAATGTTCTGTCTTCTTTCCGTCCAGGAGATCCGTTGCAAGGAACATTAGAGATACGTGGATGTTCTTTTAAAAGCCTACTCAGGGTCAAAGCAAGATTTTTCGGTGAGTAATATAGTACAGACCGAGCTTTTAAGAGTCTTGGCTCAGAATCATAACACTCACAGGTAGATTGACTGCCAAAGTCTATTCTGAGGTGAACACCTATTGTACCAATGAGTATAATCATATAGTAGGTCTATTATCAAATAAACCTTTATGGTACTAACTCATCATTTAGCTGTTTGAACAATCGGATAACCTCAAAATCTTTCAATCAGCATCTGTCAATGACAATGTCAGCAACAGCGTCTTTCTGTGCCCTATAGAATTCAGGTTTCCGCTTACCCTCAACTGTGCGTGCGAGAACTCCTGCCAGCTACTGTCATCAGTATTGGCCAGTGATGGGAAACTCCAAGTAAAATCGACCTATTTGTTATCTGCTACAGTGGAGCGTTGTATTATCGGGAAAATAACCCGAACCAATAGAGTCAGACAGGAGCTTCCTTTCAGCTGTAACCATATTGTTAATAATCTCGCAGCATCCTGTATCGTTGCGCTTTCCGTCGACGAGCTAAGTCAAAACTTCAGTCGTACCTCTTGGGAACCTGTTAAGCTGGGCCGTGCTGAAAATCCGCCTTTATACTCTCCGTCCCTGGAGATGGAAGTAATTCTGCCAGAACCACCAGTTCTAACTCGTGGACGGGGAACGCCAGTGAGATTAGTGTTCCACATCCCGCAAGAGTTAATGCAAGGGGCTCATATCTACGTCCGGAGTGTAGAAATAGAAATGCAGGCTGCGATATCTGCTTTTTTACGATATACATGGAAAACAATGGCAGATACGCGACTTGGCAATAATATAAAGGGAGCTGTGCCAATCAACTCAGAGCATCTTGAGCTGGACTTGGGAGCGTGGGGAACCTTTGTCGTCATCCAGTCGCGGCCATCTTCGAGTTCCTGCCTACTAAAAGTCGAATATGCGATCGAAGTGATAGTTGGCATATCGAATAGTGTGGAAGGCCCTATACAGGTAGGTTCATATGAATAGCTCGGTGGTTAATGATTTTGATTTTAACGCGCGTGTCGTCCAATAGTACATAAAAGCATCCTTGGACGTCATTGTGATAGACCCTCCACCAACATATCAAGCGGTGGCACATAATATGACATGAAATAAGCGACTTAGTCCAGTGTTGTATTGTTCATAAACATTATGCATATATACTTGTGGGGTAAACTCAGGAGCCCGATAAGTATTGCGGGATGAATGTGCAGCAATCCAACAAAGAGGAAGCTAATTTCGGAGGATATGCCATTAGGCCATTAGGTTAAGCGCTCATTGGCCCTCGTATAGTCACTAAAACTGTTGTGAGGATTGAGTGTCCCTCCTGAGGATCATTTTCAATGATATGTATAGTACGTAAGTAGTTTGCGATTGGGAGGAGCCTCTGATATACAAATATATCCGTATATGAATGCCAGTATAACCCAAGTAGAAATATTCCAGAGTGACAACGGGAGGCATGATTAATAAAAAATGCGATGCAGGCATAGCTAGTAGTTAAAGGACAGGGTAGCAACTGCTAACTGAATAGTATGTATTGAACTCAATTGCGCCGGCGCTGTTTGAAGTTGAGATTTAGCTCACTGGGCGAATGGTTGGATTGCGCCAAGGCTCTACATAGGGGACAACGCGTTATAACAATTTAGGCTTGGGAAACTTGAAGATACTGAACTGGTATGTGGATAGGCGACAGAAGCTCACTACAAGGTCCATGATTAACACGATTTTATAGTGATGTAGCTAGGGTTAATAGTCAAATAGAGCTATTCAACATTTGCGTTTTTGTATGCTTATGCACACCTTTTTTACAAATCTTCAGTGGGTCTGTTTATCTACACTCTTAGACTCTAATACTTAAGCTATGGGCTTAAATAATAGTTTACAACGTGGCATACTGCCAGACTACCAGTATTGTATCAGTCTTTGTTATACCTCAGCTAATATTAGCTGATAACCCCACAACCGGTGATTACTTGGATAAACTAATTTATTCCACTGGCTACATACCTTTCGTAATTATCTAGAGGGGCGTAATGCCAAAGACTACCTATTGCAAACATGATAAAACTTAGTAGCGTCCAATATTAAACTCCTCTGCTACTCTCACTAAACAAATATCCCGAGTTATTTTCCCCTTTGATCCACTACAAATTTCTTTCTTTAACTATGGCAGAATCTAATAGCTATGTTCTAGGGAGAGATCTAAACGCATCTATTAGGTACGTAAAGTTTCCAAGATAAGAACCATATAAAGCCGCTGCTCAATCTCATTAGGGTAGATTCATTATATCTTTTATTCAGTTTGTGTAATTATTACACACTAAGCCCGAAAATACCAATATCGTCCGGGATAACAATTGCTGAAATTGGAATAGGGACAGGGTTAGTCCTCTCATCATTATATGACCAAACCCATCATTAACTTAGAAAGCATTTGGCTTCTGGATGTGGCGTCTCAATACGCTTCAACTGTAGAGTTGGATGGCTTCGACATATCGGATGGCCGGTTTCCTCATAAATCGGCTTTGCCCAACAATGTCACATTGTCTGTTGTCGACGCATTCGGCCAAGCCCCTGCGGACCTTGTTGGAAAATATGATGTGGTTCATATGCGGCTCTGGCCTTGCATTGTGAGAGACAACGAAACGAATCGTTTGATCAATCATGCAACTCAGCTGTTAAGTTAGTTTGAATTCCTTTTTATATTCATAGGTATATGTCTGCTGATAATACAACGTTGTGCAGAGCCTGGCGGCTATTACCAATGGGATGAGGCGGATATTGGAAAGACTTTGACCACTGGAGTAGAAGCTGTTGAATTTTGGGAAATAATGTGTTCAATTTTGCAGTCTATGAAAATAGATTCTAAGTAAGTCAGAGGCCTTATTAATCATTATGTTGGGAATAATAATACTTAAGCGCAGGTGGATTAAGCAAATACTGAACCGCCTGGAAGAACAAGGCATGTTTAGTATAGATATTAGTGTGAGCTGCTTCTCTTAGTTACTGATGCTACTTATTACAAGGACATATGTTTGTGGGTTTAGTGAGCTTCTGAGATCTATTTATAAGGAGGGTTGTGTGTCGTTATCTCGTCATAATGAAGCAGGGAAGGCCTTGTCTAGGCTTATAAAGTTATATAAGAAGGGAGGCGCGTTGTATTGGACCCCTGTAAGTATAATTGCACGAAAGCGAGCTGTATTATCCTTTTGATGGTTGAATTTTTTGTACTTTCTTTATTAACGCTGAGTTACCTATCTCAAGCAATGTTTCAATAGATTTAATACCAATTTCCCCTTCTATATTACAGTCGAATATGCGCTAAGCACAAAGCATGTTTAAGTCTAGCGGGGAAGTAGAGAGACTTGGTCATAGATGCATTTTATTACAGACAAGCGGATGCCAAATAGTATAAAGACGTGTAAAAATTGCCTTTACTTAAGGACTTTCTTTCCATATTACCTCCGTTTACATCTCTGCCTACTTCTTCATGCTTTCAACTCAATATCTACTGATACCACTCCAACCAGGTCTAACGAAAGCTGAGAAGATATCAAAGGAGTAGTTTATATTAATCCACTATTATATTCGTTGGAAAGCAGAGAATTCTACTTACGATAGGTCTTGATATAATTACGCTGTTATTTACTTGAGTAATTGGACTGTTAAAAAGTCAGGTAAATGAAATCGCCATATATCATTTAGGGTAACCGACGGCTGCATTGGATATTAGCAGTAGTATGCAGCATCGGGTGTATTTCCAGTGTGCAAGCGGAAATGAAATAATTTAGGGTATAAAACTACTATATAACCACTACTATAGTTAGATAGCTGTTTCATTGGATATATATTGCGCTGTTCCTGTGTATTTCCAATTTTGGAAATAAGCATTACCCCCATCTGGACAGGTTGTGTTCTCCCCTGCTCCATTGCAGGTCGCAAACATGCCAATCAGACTTCCTGTAAATGGACCTGTATGCCCGCTTAGTAGTGACCCCGAAGCAGCACCTACTGTGAGTTTTTTATGGGGCTCGGACGATGGCATAGCTGAAAACGTGAAATGAGTTGTATTATGTGCTTGAATCTCGAGACGCAAAGGACTGTTCTCCCAGTCTTCTGGCACTCGCGTCATGGAATAGTCGACAGTGGAACCTCCACTGATAGCTCGGAAGCGAAGAAAGAGACTTAAAGTAGCAGAATCGCCATTTTCAAGAAGAACAAGGCCCAGATCGACGTGATTAAACTGGGTGAGGAACATGGTAACACCAGCCTCCTGATCGATCTCCTTAGGGGAGAAAGATAGGTCAACAGTAACGTCAAAAGTGGTATGTGTTTGTCGTCTACCGATGAAAGAGAGACCACGTCGACCACTCAATGCAAGGTCTATCTCCGAATTTGAGGTAGGAATGACGCCGGTCAAATTGCTTCGACTTGGTACTATCCGCAAGCCATTATTCGAGGTAGCAAAGGCACCCTGACGCGGGACACGCCAGTAAACAAGGTTGGAGGGGATTGGGCTATTTAAAGAGAAACGATATCGATCAGGGTCGTTATTGAAAGGTCCCGTTCCAGGAATATCGCGATTCCGCGGTGGCAAGTGCCATCCATTCATTTTTCCCTTTACACGTTGCAATATTGGCCATTCATTCTTGTTCCAGGTTGCTGGAAAGAGTACCGCCTCTCGTCCCATAGGGTAGATGTTCCAGTCTGGACCAGAACGTGTGGAGAGGCACATTCCCCACCAGTTGCCTCTTTGATCTTGGAAGAGGTCTCCATGGCCGACAGTCTGGAAATAGCCGTCCGTACCTCGAGCAGTGAGGATAGGGTTATTGACGTAGCTGTCATATGGACCATTGATATTCCGTGATCGTGCAATTGTAATTGAATGGTTGAGCTCCGTACCACCTTCTGCGATCATGAGGTAGTACAAATCATCCTTCTTATAAAGGTGAGGTCCTTCAGGATATGTTCCACCGGTGCCATTCCAAACACTTAGAGGCGGTTGACTCAGGTCGCCAGTCTCGAGATCAATTTCCTGAAGTGTGATTCCCGCCATTACCGAATAGACTTTACCATCGTCATCCCAGAACAAGTCAGGATCGATGTTTGAGGGCTTGAATCGTACCGGATCGCTCCAAGCAACATTGCTGTAAGGATCTGAACTCTTGAATATGACGCCGATGTTGCCTTCCGGTGCATTCAAGTACTGGCAAATGACAAAAAATTCACCGTCGTGATGCCGAATCGTTGCTGCGTACATACCGTTTTGCTGGTCTGGGGTGCCCCAACTGGCACCGGGAAGCTGGCTTTCACGATTCCAGGCATGGCTCACTAACTTCCAGTCGACTAAATCTTTGGAAACGTAGATAGGGAGCCCGGGGAAAGATATGAAAGTCGATGTAACACAGTAGAAGGTATCATCAACAACAGTGCACGAGGGATCGGAATGCCAGCCGGCAAGGACAGGATTAAAATAGGTAGAGTTGTGTGCTATTGTGTGTGCAATTGAGCCAAAGAGCGCAAGATAGCAACCCCAGTATCTCATTGCTTTGATGTGGCGTAAAAACATATTTGTAGGCTGCCTTGAGTAGATATACATATAATGTGATCCCCAAAAAACTCATTAGTGTTGGGGCACTATCTGAGTCTTATAAACACGATTAAGAAGACACCGAAGGACATGCTTTCGATCTGAAATTCCGAAAGTATATTCCGAAGACAGGTTTAGGCTCTTATAAAGGGACGATCCGGATGAAATGAGAAACCAATAGGAAGGATAACGGCTATTCTATGGCTACATCGTGCAAGCAAGAAGTGCCTCATTGAGCAACTGTGGTGTGATCATTAATAGCGATCGATCGGCAATTAATCTGCACTCTATTTTCCCCGCATTGTGCGTAGAAAGCCAATCTGAACTTGATTGCCCAGATATCACATGAGTTTATTGACCCAAGGTACGGAGTAGCATCAATGAATACTTCTGGCGTATTACCCACCTGCCTTTTTATGTAAGATAGATCATAATGGCTGCCTAGAATTACCATAAATTTTTTTAATTCCGCATCCTACATAATCCCAGCCTTCAATTGTCTTCAAAATCCTGTAGTCATATCTATTTACATAATATTCAAGAATAACGCCATTATATATAAAAAGCATAGCTCAATCCATGAGATTGATCATTGTGTGGTTATTGAAATGTCGACAGAGTGAGTGATATGTCGGGATTACGGAGTACTGTATCCTGAACAATGAAGGTCCCTGCTGTTAATGCGGGGTTCCCAAAACTACCATGGAGACAAGAGGGGACACGTAATAAAAAGCAATCCGTTTCTCATTATTTACTGTCAGCACTTACCGATCTTTCTTTCTCAATATCCAACTATGCCTGTGTTTTCACTGGGCCCTGGTGGTATTACCACTAAGCTTCCCTCCAGTTCAAAATTCCAGCAGAAAAAGAGACGAGAAGAACCGCAGAAGCCAAAAGAGTATTCTACAACATTAGTACCACATGATGCTGCGGCGTGGAAAGTGGCTCTGCAGGCCGGGATCGATCCCAATACGATATGGACGGAGCAAGACTTAAAGCAAGAATGGCTCGAACAAAAGTACAGATGGTATAGCTGGAATACTCCAATCCATCTGACCCTATTCTTGGAAAATTATACTTCTGCCGAACTCCTCTTAAATTCCGGCGCTAATATCAATCTGTGTAACGCGTTGGGTAGAACTGCATTAATGGAAGCCGTTCACAACCATCAGTATAAGACGGTGGAATTCTTGATCGTACATGGCGCTGATCTGAACGCTCCAGTTGTTGATGGAACATTTCAAGAGACGACTTACTGGGATACACATGAAAAAATCGAAGTGAATACTCTTCCAATTTACGAAGCCATACGCTTTGCAGATGCGCGCATGGTACAGAAGCTGGTCAAAGGTGGCTCCGATGTGAATTCTGCCTCAAGGGAAGGTTGGATGCTTTTGGATATGGCGCTGCTGGACAAACAGGGTCCTACGATAGATGTACTTCTCAAACACGGCGGCCACTTTTCTAGTACAGCCCGCCATGCGTTGCATTTTCGTGACGAGTTCCGTGCCATGGCACGCAACTTGTTTTCTGCATCGACTCAACGGGAGCTGTTCCCTTCTCAGGATCTGCTGGAAGTGTACTGGTGGGTTATGTCAACACCAGACATCCAGGAAATCTTGAATGGTCGGGATATAGATACATCCCTTACAAGTCGCCGACTCATCAAGAGCTTCTTTAACACACTCTGTGAGATTGCCCAGGTAGAAGACCTACAAGCAAAAGAAAAGCCTTTCTGCTCCCAATGCGTTGCATTTCAATCATGGGCTTGTCCAGCATACGAAACAAAATCCGACGATCACGGTGCTGTCATATATGGTGACTGTTCGGTGTTTGAGCTCTATTCTATGCGAGATCAATTGGAAGAGTCATCTCGTCTTGGCTGTCCGCTTTGCAGTATGATAGCCGATGGCATTGATAAGGAAGAGAGCTATCAACGCCGCTGGCTAGGTGAGAAGGGTGATATGGAAGTCAAAAAATTCGACGCGGAAGTAGTCGGAAAAGTATCCCTTGAGCTTATCCGTCCAGGAAGTTCATTTTACATGCTGCGCATATTGATGGGGTCTTCTCTCAACTTCGTTCTTCACTTAACCCATTTAGACGGTGAGTAAACCCGGTTTGCTTCTAACCTCGTGTTTCTGTGACTAGATTAACAATTTATTACGGATCAGAGGATACAATTTTGGACACATGCCACTATAACGGTAGGACGACCAAGACAAATTCCCCGGAGGCTTTCAAATTGGCTAAACATTGGCTTGACAAATGCGAGCTATCACATACCACATGCAAGAAGTTTTGCAGTGGGGAGACACCTCTACCAACCCGTGTCATTGATGTAGGGGATAAGACCAGAGGTCCATTTTTATTCAGAAGTCAAGGCGTGAAAGGTAGATATTGCGCTCTTTCTTATTGCTGGGGAAAAGCCACGGCTTCCTCGAGTTTCTACACGACAACGAAGGCAAATTTGTTGAGCCACGAGAACTCGATGCCCCTCCACGAATTACCTGCAACATTGCGAGATGCCATTGTTGTTGCTCGCAACCTAGGGTTTCAGTATATCTGGATCGACGCCATCTGTATCGTTCAGGACGATGAAGCGGAGTGGGCCAACGAGGTTGCAAATATGCAGCACGTTTACGCTGGCGCATCGTTCACAATTTCGACTGTGGCGTCGAGTAGCAGTGAGGATGGGCTATTTCGACTCCGTGAGACTCGCAATTCAACGGCCGTCTGCTTAAGTTACAGAATACCCAAGGCATTCCGTGAATATGCGTGGCAAGCAGGATCCAGTCCCCCCCGGGTCCCAAATTCTCCTATGTATCTCGTTGCATGCCCCAACATCCTCTCGGCCATGGAACCTTCTATGTATGGACCCGTTCACCAACGGGCATGGACTCTCCAAGAGCAAATGATGAGCACTCGGATTTTGTACTATGGCCGAGGAATGCTCTGGTGGGAGTGTTTCGATCTCTACGCGTCCGAGAGCCAGCCCGGACCATTACACTTGTCAGATTACGCGGCATGGGAAAGATCCGAGACAAAGAACGCTGTTCGAGGGGAGCTTACGCACCGATGGGCGGGGGCCGACGTGTTTAAGCATTGGCAGGAGCTGGTGGAAAATTATACCGGCCGTACCGTGACAGACAGACGAGACCGGTTGACTGCCATTGTCGGGTTGGGCCATGCCATGGAACCATTCATGAAGAGCAAATTTGTTGCCGGCGTATGGCCGGGCGACCGGCTTTTGGAGAGTCTCTGCTGGGAAGCTCGTGTCTACGATCACTCGATGCGCAATCCCCAATTTCCCTCATGGTCCTGGGCCTCGGTGAATGCACTCGCTCTTTACGACCTCGCAGGCCATCTAAATGCGTACGGAGTAATGCGCCGCATTGCTGATGTCGTCTCTTTTGATGCTAATATTTCTGACGAGGCACAAACGGCCGTGACGGGCTCCGTTACCCTTAAGGGGACGGTCGGTAGACTAGCAAAGCCGGCGAAATGGAATACAGACGAATCAGTTTTGGATCCGTACCGCCCGGACTGCATGGCTGACCCTATCGATCAATGCTGGTATATTGATGTTCTTGAATCTCGCAAGTGGACCCCGGCGCGACGCGTCCGGCTATTATTGCGCCAAGAGGACATTGAAAATAAAACTTTTAGGCGGATCGGAATTGGCCTTGGGGATAGTGAAGGGTGCTCTGAAATTATAGAGAATGAAGTCATCGTGCTCATTTAGTAAACTGTACAGAATATCCAACAGTTTCATATACAATGATAGTATACTAAAATTACTGTATGGATTGGGGATATTACCATATAATCATCTTGACTACAACCGAATTTAATCACATGTAACACGTGGCTTTATTTTCTTATTATCCCTTTTCTTGCTATCTATACGCCGAATACGTTGTCTTTGTATGCTGATAGAGATCTCGTTAGCCCGAAACTTAGCAAAGCTCCGATGCTTGGCCTAAACATATGATTAACATTATCGGAAATTCTCCCGTTTAGATGATATGGAGGGTAGAAGATCGGTAGTTGACAAGGTTGCGGATGTTTCCGCACTTTTCCGTCTTCGGCCGCCCCTTGCCACATCGCCCAATCTCGCTCCTCGGGTACGTAAAATAATCACCCACCGTTATCCGCTCATACGGCCTGCCGTAGATTGCGGGGGAAGTACGTGATATCGCAAGATGGACCAGTTCATGCCGTCTGATGCCGCGGCGGCCGCTATCAGGATTCCCAGGAGGGCGTATCAGGCTTGTGTCCGGTGCCGCCAGCGCAAGGCCCGATGCTTGATCCCAGACTCGCCGGCCGGCGCCGATCCCGTGTGCATGAGGTGCAAGCGGGAGCGAAAGGAGTGTATCTTCACGTCAGAGCGGTCCAGAAGCAGTCGTCACGCCTTGCAAGTCAAGCAGAGGGCGAAGAGAGCCGGACGTCCAATGTGTACGCAACATCACGCAATGGAACAACTGACAGCACATCACAATGGGACCAACGACCACAGACCCTCCTCGGTTACGAGGGTTCCTGTAGCCATTTGTTAGGCTCAACATCGATGGAGCAGAGCTCAAATTCACAACAGAAAGACTCTCCATTGGGCGACTTAACGGATCGTGTTACTAGAACGGTAGTTTCTAGTCAATCCGAAGCTCTAAATCTCTTATTTGAAGCCGCCGAAGTTTACCACTCCAGCGACTCTGCAGCTCGGCCAACCGCAAATAATGCTGAGCCATTGGATGTCAGTGCGGACGGCGATTCAGTACGGACACCTGGGTTTAATTCTGTGAGGCTTTCTAAAGGTTGGGAATGGGCATATCCTGCTGAAAATGTTGTCCAACCTCAACCCGAGGTGATTCAGGCATTTGCTAGGCTAAAGTTTGTCAAAAAGCGATGGTTGACTGCTCAGGAGGCGGCAACGTTTGTCAATCTGTACGTTCACGTCTCCAGACTGTCGGAAGATACATTCTAAACTGTCCTTCTAGATTTTTCAGGAACATGTGTCCTTTCACACCTGTCATTAGTGATTGGTATGGGAACCCTGATAACTTTCTTAATTTGATTGATACGGAGCCTGTCCTATGCACTGTAATCCTCACCATATCAAGCCGTTATCATTTATTGCATGGCGACGGCTGGCTGTCTCGCAGCTACTTTTTACATAATCGACTTTGGCGATATTGTCAATCACTCTTCCAGCGTGTCATATGGGGGCAGGAGAAAGGTATTGTAAGTCCGGCGCGAAGTCTAGGGACTGTGGAAGGCTTCCTCCTAATGGCTGAGTGGCATGCCCGATCGCTGCATCTACCTCCGGATATTGAGGCATGGGATTCGGAGGATGATACTCCCAAGGATGGTCCGTCCTCGAGTAAATCATCCTGTCACTCTTAGTCAGATTAACTCACAACTAATATCTCATAGCTACCTACCGATGGCTAGAAGGTGTAGTAGAGCCGATGAGAAGATCGGATCGGATGTCTTGGTGCGTTATTAGAACCATCCTTACGTTTACTGTCACTCATATAGTTCTCACAGGTCTCTCATTCAATCTGCGGCTAGTGTTGGCCACGAGCTGGGGCTGTTTGACGAGGAGGGAAACAATGACAGCATCTCTGGATCAACTACAGCTCATGAAGTTCACAAACAAAGACGACAGCGATTAAGAGTAGTATTGTATTTGTACATGAACCAATTGGCCTTCAGAATCGGCTTTTCCGCGCTCATTCCTCACACGCTATTTAATTTGTCGCAAAATGCGCTCAAACAGTCACCAACTTCCCAGCTTAGCGACCATTGGATCGAATCTATGTCTTTGTGGGTAGATCTCAGTCGACTGACACGTGCGTCTCATGATCTACTTTTCGCATCAAAGGCCTCAACGCGAGAGCTTATTAAAAGTGGAGGGTATCGTCGAGTCTTGGAGCATTTTAAGCCAATGCTGGAAAAATGGTGGACGAAATACACAGCAGCCACAGGTATGGACACTATCTCGAACGAGTTTACATAAAAGACATTTTACTTATATCATTGTAGCGGCTGGGCCATTTCGTGATTTTCTAGCCGTTGACTTTCTTTACACCAAGATATATCTCTATTCTCTGGCTTTACAAGCAGCGGCGGAACGCAAAATGAGCCAACAAGCAAATGAAGTGCCTAACAGTGTCATGTCATCAGTCTTTGACTTCAGCTATGAAGACTATAATTTTATACAAGGTGTGATTGTAGCGGCGAAAGATGTCCTCCGAATCATTCTTGGGTTTGCTGAGATTGGGCGACTAAGGTATCTGCCTGTTCGTACATACGTGAGGGTGATTTCATCGTGCATCTTCTTACTAAAAGTAAGCAAAATCTCTCCGTCTTTACTATTAATTTAGAAGCTTAACGTTAACAGGCGCTCGCACTCGGGGTCCCTACGGACGAGCTCAACTCATCTCTCGAACTCATCGATCAGAGCGCACGAGTGCTCCGTCTTCACATCGTCGATGATTTGCATCTGGCTGGAATTTTTGCATCTCTATTAGAGACTTATACACAAAGCTTCAGAGAGAGGTTTGTTAGTATTCTGGGAGTTCCACGGCCAGCCAATAGTGTTGCCTCAAGCACAGGGGGATTCCCAGCTAGTGAACATGCGGAGACTGAGTTGCCAGCAGTCGATCCTATCGGCGGAGATTATGGGATCAATCAGGACTGGCTTGCTCACCCATTTGACGCATCCATTGCGCCATTTGGAGCAGACTTGACGCAAACATTCGGCGTATTTGATGATGAGCTCAACTTCATATGGAACGAAAATATGTAAAGCCCTGAATCTGATTCAAGGTGTCGATTACGGCAGTCATGTATTCCGCCTCAAATAGAAGAGATTACAAATAAGGTGAATGCGTTTAGTGAGACATACACCACTGTTTTCATCTTAGAATCCAATGATATTATAAATCAATTAGAGGCTCTCGCAGAAGTAGGCAGCCAATGTGCGGAAGAAATATGCGATAAAAAACACTACAGCTTATCAATACAGTGTAAACCCAATGTCAAAACAACATGAAACTTCGTGGCCTTAGCCTCTTTGCTTCAGACGTAAAATGCATCTCTTCCCTTTTGGCACCAAGGCAAAATGATCGGTCATTTCCATGTCGTCGTCGATCGTTGCGCTGCCTATTTCGACGGTGAATTTCCTCATTAATGCGGCCGTTCCTACCTTCAGCTCCATGTATGCCATAGGCTTCCCTAAACATGCTCTCTGCCCTTTGCCCCAAACAAGGATATGTTCATGCATCACATTGAGATGATGTTCAGAAGCGACAAGCCACCTGCCAGGATCAAACCTCTCCGGGTTCGGATACACTGTTGGATCTCTCTGAGTTGTATAAGATTGGCAAGATGCAATACCCTGTAATGAGTAGTAGTGAGCAGGGAATTCGAAAGTGATCCATTGCGCAGAGGCTTACATTCTGGGGAATAACAATTCCATCCACCACTGCACCCCCTTCGCCAGGTGCAAGTCGCTGTAGGCTCGCCGGTGCCGCGGGATGAAATCTCAATGTCTCATGGATGACGGCGTCCAATACGCGCAGCTTCATAACATCCTTATACTCTGGAACCTCTTCAAGTGCTGCTTTGTCTAGTTCAGCTTGCAGCTGCTTTTGCCACTGCGGGTGTTTAGCCAATTCGTAGAACATGTAGGTCAATGTGTTGCTGGTAGTGTCAGTTCCAGCAAAGATTAGATTCGTCATCTCATTGACAATCTCGTTGTCGTCTAGTGGGCCGTAGTCCTTGCTACCGGCAATAAGCTTGGTGAGAAGATCGATGCGATCCCCAGAACGACCATGTCGCGCAATGTACTCGTTGAACTTTTCAGTCCCATATTTCTATATGTTGAATGAGTTTTGGCCGTAAGCTATCACTTCCACACAACAATATACTCACATCATAGAATTCTGAGGCAATTCTCAAAAAATGCTGCATAGGTTTGTGTGGAAGGGCGAGGAGGAGTGGACGAATGGCGGCAAATTGCCACTCGATCAAAAGAGAAGGGAACACTTCATCTAGATCATACAAAATCTCGGGTGATTTTTCATTAGCAAGTCCACCAAAGCTCTGCCCAAAAAAGACTGATCCTATTGCGTGTAAGCCATGGTCACTTTCATCTGAAGTAGACACTAACCAACAACGTCGAGAGCGAATATTCGAAACCATTCCATCAAATCAAGTGGCTGATTAGTTCTCTTAGACAAAACGTGTAGTAGCTTTTGAACTTGTTCTTTTACAAGTGGCTCGACGGCTGCAATAGATGCCGGCGCAAAGACATGCGCAATGCGTTTCTGCCTTGATCGATGCTCTGTCTTATCCAGGATAGTAAAGGAGCTTTGCCGGCCAAAGGCCTCGTATACAGGACCTTTCATAAACTTGTTCCCGGAGCCATAAAGGTCTTTCATAGCCTGTCGACTAGAAAAGGACACTTCCCGAGGACCAATTCTGACAACACTGCCGTACTTCTGGTGGAGCTCGTGGATAGTTTTGGATCGACTTCCTGACATGTCAATGCAGATAAGCCAGAAGCGCGACCACCTTGCTTTCATAGGGCCCGGAACATTTCTGAGCGGGTCTCGTATGATTGACTGTCATTGTTAGCTGAAAACTGTTCGTTACGCGCATTCACGCTGGTTCGGAACTGACCCAGGAGAAGAAGAGGACTAAAGTGCTGGCAATAACAGACACTATAATGGTGGGGTGCCCGATTGTAAACTTTTTAATATTGTTTGAATGATCCAGTAGGATCAAAGATATTGTAGAGATGTTCATTTTTTAATCCAAATCATCCCCAATCTCTCAATGTATGATAGAAGGTGCAAGAAATGCAAATAACACAGTCGATGCTACATATATAACTACCTCATCGATTCCCTTTAAACTCCCAATTACCTACTAAGTCCTATTATGTAGCCTCAGAGGGTTCAACACAGAGCTTACGGTCAGTCTTACCTCAGATGTTCCGCTGTTGTCCGTAGTCCTCCGTATTTTCCCGCCGTGAACCGACAAGAAGGCAGTAGGGCTCCCAAAGGCAATGCCGATAGCGATTGCCGTATCAATAAGCGAATGATGATGTAAAATAGAAAGCGAATGACTCTGAGAGCTGCGAGTTGATAGCTCCGGAGATTGGGATAAAAGTTTCTGAGCATGAGTTATGAGGGAAAGGGTAGACTGACTTTACTAGTCTCACTATCTAAAGATCTGGAGGACATAAGTCTTAGCTGATGCCATTGTTTATTCATTGCTTTGGCTAGAACTCAATCGTATTACATATTATTGTCATATTTTCTAATTACAAAATGCCTATCAACGTTCCTTGGACTCGCCTCATCCGCTTCGAATCCGAGGAGGATGCCAACATTCACTACGGCGAGCCGATAATTTCTACTAGCCAATCTAACCTTGGACAATGGCGAAAATTACAACCACTAAAAGCTAAGAAGATTACTGGAAATCCTCTTGATTCATCCTGTATCATCACCGATATAGTACTGACAGTTCGGCGACTGCTTGCGCCACTTGCAAGACAAGACATATCTGCTATTCGATGCATCGGCGGAAACTATCGCACTCATTGTGAGTCACTACATCCCAGAAAATCAGAAGGCCTACTTTGCTCATTAATTTGAAGTGGATGAGCTTAATATTCCGCCTCCAGCGTTTCCATGCATGTTTCCCAAGTTTCCAAACTCAATAGTTGGTCCTGGAGAAAACATTGAGATTCCAAAAATTGCACAAGATGATCAGGCAGATTATGAGGGTGAACTTGTCATTGTGATAGGTAAGGAAGCAAAGAACGTTTTGGTGGAAGATGCATACGATTACATTGCTGGCTATACAGTGGGCAACGACATGTCTGCTCGAAAATGGCAAGGCAATTTTACGAGTAACTGCATCCCGCCTCCTCAAGCCGGATTTTCGAAAGCATTTGACTCGTTTTGCCCAATAGGCCCATGTATCACGGCAGCACACGTCAGTAACCCCATGTCGTCATCGTACTCAAAGCTAATGAATCTCGCAGCTCGTGCCTGATCCTCAAGCTCTCAGTCTTCGTACATGGGTAAACGGAGAACTGCGACAGGATTCCAACACCTCTTACATGCTATTCAATGTCGCTCAGATTATTCAGTTTCTTAGCCAGGGCACAACACTTTATGCGGGAGATGTGATTCTCACCGGAACACCGAGCGGTCCAGGCTTCACAATGCGACCACCAAAGTGGCTTCAGCACGGAGACAAGATTGAGATCAGAATTGGGAATCTCGGCACACTTGTAAACTCGGTAACATATGCTTAATGGTTTTTTTTCTATTCAATATTTACATAGATGGCCGATATTCGATGCATGATGCAGCTCCAGCTTCAGTTTGCCACTGGCAATATTGGCTTTTAACACTGATGTGCACCGATTCATTAATATTCTTCAATCATATGTCTCTCATGATTATCTATTATTCATAAATGGTACTTTGGTTCTAAACCCAGATGCAATCTAAGCGCCAAGAAAGCCACTGATGAGCTCGTTAATTATGGCCGGCCGCGTCACATGTAAAAAATGATCCGCGTCCGGAACTTCTACCAGATTGGCTTGCTGGAGATTCTGTCGCAAGTACAATGCTGTAGTAGCGGGAACCTCCTTTCCAAGAGATGACGAGATCAAAAGCGTTGGGGCCTTGACTCGAGGAACATACTGACGATCATCGTCATGAGCCATAATCTTGAAGAACCCGTTTAGGGTGTCAGTGCCGGCATTGTAAGACATGGTACGGAACCACGAAACAACCCTCGAGGCATCTTCTGCCGTAAGATCTTGGAACACAATTGCTGGATCGAGAACCGCATTAGTAATTGCCTCGATGCCTCGATCGCTGGCTGCAACAAAATGATTGTTCAGTTGCTCCTCGGTAAAGCCGTACGGGTAGTCAGTGTCGTTCCTCTTAAATTTGGGGCTAGCATTCAAAGTCACTAGCTTATTCACACGCTCGGCCTGCTGCGCAGCAAATCGCAGAGCAACGTGTCCAGCTGACGCGAATCCCACGAAGCTCGCCTTGGGAATCTTGAGATGATCCATCACGGCGAGAATGTCGCTACAGTATAGCTGCGTTACATCCTTGACGTCAACAGGGAGTTTAGACGATGCACCATAGCCTCGGAGATCAACAAAAATGTTATGGTACTTGTCAGCGAAAGCCTCATATTGCGCGGACCATGAGCGGCTGTCGAGTGGCAATCCGTGAATCCACACAATCGGCTCGGCATTTGTTGGACCGGCTTGTCTGAATGCGAGTACTCCGCCGTTCGCATCAAGTGTTTGAATGGGCGCGGGGAGATTGATCTTGATCGGTCTTGGGTATGTAGATAGTCTTATGATGTCCTGCCTCTCGCCATAGCCTGGTAGCCTCTTTTTTGAGGAAAAGTCAACGCCATCCAACCCTGGAACGAAAATTTTGGTGAGGTCATCTCGAGCAATCCGAAGTTGTTTCGCAGCATAGTCGGTGACGCATCCAGAAAGAAGCTGCCGTGCATCCTCGACTACGACACGCATGCGCGTATTCATGGCGAACCAATCATCCGGGCTTGAGATCTTGGGAAGCTCTGATACCGTTAATGTTGAAGCGTTAATCTCCGGTCGCATATTGTTTTCGAGAGCGTAAGCTGGATACTGTGCGAACATGGTTTCACCAAGATGCGTCATGCCCGTCATGGCATTCCACAGTAAGCGAAATCCATGCTCATGGATACGCAATGAATCGGGGGTCGCCGGACCTTGGACCTTAGGGACTGCCCCATGCGGTGCAATGTAGAGCCGTTCCAGTGGAAGATCCAGATCTGATGACTCAATGAGGATTTGAGCAACAGATGAGGTGCCAATAGTTACGCCAGAAGTTTCACGTCCCTGTTGGCCAGTAATGATTACCATGGCTTTTTTCCAATCAAAGTCGTTGGACCTGAGCCACCTTCGAGAGCGGTAGGAAAGATCGAGTCCAACGAGAAAGAACGTGGCAATCATGACAGCGTTGAAGGGCACTGTTGCTCCGAGTACATCACCGGTTGCTTCAATGTAGTTCTCGCGATAGAACTCGGCGTTTAGTTTCGACGAGTCTGCGAGAACTGTTTCGAGGAATCTTATAGTCAAGGTACAGGCGTAATCCACCATGGAAGCAATAGCGGCTTCACGTCCTTGAAAGGCTTCTGCCTGAATGAAGTTCTTCCAAAGGACCGTCGAGTTGACCTTTTGTGATGCACGTGTTTTCTCAAGTAGATTTTGAGCCTGTTCCTGCCATACCGTATCAGGCACCCCATTGTCGCGAATCTGGATAAGAGACGCAAGGGCTGGCCCAAGATGTGAAACTGCAGCCAACTCCTTGAAACCTCTGCTTCCGAGGCGAAAGTTGATGTATGATGGGTCAAGTCCTTTTCCGGGAAAGAGAATCATGTCGAAGCTAGTTGCCACCAGCAGCGGTAATGAATTTGTAGTTTCCGTCTCAGATTCGGTCAGCGTAGCGCCAATGCCCGTCTTGGAGGATGTATATGCAGTGAAGAGCTCAAGGAACTCGGGGACCTGGAACGCAAGCCCTTTTGGAGCTTCTTCCTGGGTATCTTGTGTGCTAGTGAACTTGTAAACGCGAGACGCCGTCCTGAAACGTTGATCCTTTGTCAGACTCTCGGCGACAATGAGATAAATCTGATCATCTCTTACTACTGGAGTGGCGTCTGTTCCTCCTAAAGTTGGGAATCTGGCTACTTCTTTGAGCTGACCATTTTCCAGGATAAAAATCGCCGACTGAAGGTCTGTGACTGGATTCTCTCTCGTTCCTGTGATGAAGTTCACAAGTACTAGGTACATTTGACCCTGATCCTGAATCACGGCTAGTTCACGACCGCCAGATCCTGTAGTCAACGTCTGATGGATATCAAAAGTCTTGCCATTCCATCGATAGAGAACGCTACCCTCTGTCAACAGGGCAAAAGCAAGATAGGAATCATTTCCATCTTGGAAGAAAGCAAATGCACGTCCATGTACACCATCGAGAGTTTGAAAATGAACGAAAGAATGTCCGTCCCACCGCAGAATGATTGATGGCTCGACATGGTCGGCGTAAGCAAGGTAGTCCTCTTCGCCAATGGCAAAGTGAAGATAGTTATAACCCCATTTTGACGGAACTGTCTGGAATGCCTTGAACTTGTTACCATCCCACTCGTATATGACGGAGTCCGCTGGGATTTTAGGTATGAGACTAGGGAGCTGAACCCCTTGGGCGAGACCTAAAAAGTGTCTTCCCTTTATACTAAAGTATCTCCATTGCTTTGCTGCAAAGGTGGCGATGCGCTGGAACTCGACAAAACAGGTTCCATTCCACTCAAAAATTATTGACTCAACATCCATTTCATATGGACCTTGGCCGGAGCGCAGACTTGCGGTAGCTAGGAAGCTCCGGCCGCCAATAGTGAAAAACTCGGCATCTTCACCACCAGGGACCGGCAACGTCTGGAAAACTTGATATTCCCCACTGCCTTCGTGAAGTCTGTAGAGCAGCAGGGTAGTGTCACTATTTCCAAGATTCATGCCGACGGCACCATTGGGTATGTCCTCCGCTAATTGAGGGATCGCCAAGTAATGACGACCCTGTATCTCAAAGGCGGCCATAGCGCGAGCGCCAGATGTGCCCAAGGTTTGGACGAGTTGAAGTTCGACCTTGGTCATATTGCGTAATTAAAAAATGGCTTGATGAAGTCGGTAAACAGTCTCTTTCAAGAATAAATGTTAATGCACTGGTCTTAGTTTGCCAAAAGTGAGAACACAGTTTTGAGTAGTTTTTAGATCTGCTTTGATTGCTTTATTATCGCAGGCGTACACATGGGAGCGAAGCATCCGGAAGCATCACCCACCCTATTCGCCCCAGGTCAGCATGTAATCTTCTCATGTCGGCGAAATTGGAGGTTTGGCAGCTGGGTACAACGGGACACAGCGGCCCTGGACGGCTAGCGGCGGAGAAGGACGGTCACGGACGGTCCATTGCGGGGGACTTCAGTCTCACTGGCCCATGTTTGGTTGTGTACATTGTAATGTACATTGTAATGGAATGCAAACACTTCTATACTCCTGGTTTGAATGCAATCATATATGCATATTGGAAGTAAATTATAGCTTTAAATGCTTTCTAGTATTTCGCTAGTCCAGGTCCAAAGTTTATGTGCTACCTCTTCATTTATAGCCATCTTGTCCTTATTCACGTCGCCATTGCTCATTACTCCCACCGGCTTGTAGTACGCTCCGTTAACAAGCTCATTCCTGTTTGCTCCTGCAGCCGCCCATAATTGGTTGAGAACGCCCTCCTCTGGAGTAAGGATGGAAGTGCCTAGGATAAAGTTTGAAACATGTAAAAAGGCCGAATCTGCAAACGATAGACTGTTTACCAAATCTGTTTTCACAACGCCAGGGTGAACTGAGACTGCCATTATCTTCGGAAATCGACGCCCAAGTTCCGCCGCATATACAAGATTCGCAAATTTGGATTGGCTATGGGGAATTTTCTTGTCAATACAACTATTCCAATATCTCAAATTTAAGCAGGTGAGTGAAGATGTGATGTTACCCGTATCTTAACAGCCAAATTGGCATTCCACCTTTTTCCGTTTGCATTTTATCATACCATATGCCGCTCGGTGGGTGTCCTTTCCACCCTTCTGATGTTAGGCACACGACTCGCACGTCAGAGTTCGGCATCTCCGCAGTTCGCGTGAGAACTGGTAAAAGTTCATGTATAATCATGGCATGGGCCAAATGGTTGACTGCAAAATGGATCTCAAATCCATCTCTGCTTACTGCTGGAGGTACTGCCATAACACCTGCATTGCACATGAGGATATCCAACCGGCCGTGTGCGAATTGGTTGATACTCGCTCGTACTGACTCAAGAGAACTGAAATCAATCTCTAGAAAAGTTAATCCCACGCCTGGATTCTCTGCCTTGATATCATTCATGACAGCGTCGGCCGCTTTTTGGTTACGGCCAGTGAAATAAATGTGCTGAGGATTATGCTTTGCGAGAGCCTGAATGGACTGCTTCCCCAAGCCGGCAGTTCCTGAGGTAATAGGTATAAGAAATTGTGTCCTAGTTATAAAGCGAGATAAGATAATGTACTCAAGACATACCTCCAGTAACAAGGACAACTTTGCCGCTCAGAGACGGGATGTCTTTTTCAGGATTGAAATCGGCGATTCCAGCGAGACGTGGCATTTTGAGGAATGGAAGACGAGTATGATTAAATTGGATGTGCTGGATGTTTGTTTTGTGCGAGATGAAAGAAGGAGCTCGCAATATCCATGACAAGCAGATTATATAGCCCTCTGAGTTCAGGATTCTTCCAGGTGGATTTGGCTTACACAGCCTTGGCATTGCCAAAACAAGCGTTAGCGCGTCACGGTCTTGCATTAGGCTGGTATTGCTAATTGGCTATCCAATCACATACAGCCAACTATCACAGTGGGTCAATGTTTTGTATTAAACTCTTGGTAATTTGGTAGCCCGGCATTGGCGGACTGATTCACGCCGTCTTTATTGCCTCCTATTCTCACATCTCCGTGAGAAGTATTCAACACTATCACATTCTTCTCAATGAAAAACTACAGAAACAGATAATACTGTCACCCATCTATAACAGCTCTAAGGTACAGTCCACTAGCAAGCCCAAATGCCTAAAATTCAGGGCACTCCTGGTTTATTTCGTGTGATAGATCTGACGGGGGTGATGTTAGATAGGTATGGACCAGGATTGTTGGAGAGGAGTGATAGATCCAGTGGAAAGAAAGAAGCGGCAGAATCGTCTTCGCCAGAGGATAGCACGTAAGTATAGAAAGATTCTTCAAATTCAGAGCTACCAAGCCAATGAGAGATATAGCGAGGTCGCAGGCAGTCCTTGGGAACCATGGTGCGCTTCTTCGTATGTAAAACTGATTTATAGCCAGGAGAGAAAAAAAGGACTGCCACCTATGCAAAGCTTACGTCCAGCATCGATTCCTCCTGGAATGGTTTCGGCATTTTGATATCTGGAGCGCCACCGCCACACACGCCTATGCCTAGGAGCGAAGGTCTCATCAGTCCCAAGTATTTTCGACAGGATTCACTCGACATAGATCCTCATAGTTCATTTGAGCCAGCGACAGGAACCTGGAAAATAGAAGTAAACATGGTTATCCCGCCTCTCATGTTTTACACGACAGCGGCAACTTTTGGACAGGCAACGCCTCCTCTCATTTTCCCGCTCAGCCCAGACCATTGCTTACTTACCATGGTTCAATACAACGTTCAGCGCGCTTCACTATTCAATATGGCCGTTCTATCTCTTCTAGAACAACTTCCTCTAGAATGTGGAGGCACCATCAACCTTCCAAGCTTAGCCATAGATCCGCCTAGCTCCATCCCACCTGAGCTTGTGCCCACCACTTTGCAGAAATCCACACCTCACGCGTACTGGATAGACATATTCCCGTGTCACATTATGCGAGACAATCTGATCCGTCTTTATGGGCAATATGATTCTCATGACCTGCATCGTGATCTAGCCAAGAGTTTGTACGAAGGATTTGTTGATGGAGAACAGCGCGGCTGTATGATTTGGGGCGAGCCATGGACAGTCAACGGCTGGGAAGTAAGTGAAGGATTCGTCAAGAAATGGGGGTTTTTACTCACAGGCTGCTCGGGTCTTCTGGCATCAACGAACTACTGGAGGAAATCGCGGGGTGAAGATAGTTTGGCGATAGAACTAAAAGAATAGTAATTATTCGTTGAGGTCCAAGTCAAAATGATATCTACGTATTCTACCATATTTCTAAAATAACTATCTTGTATTACGATACTTAGTTAGACGGCCACAACCAAAGAACTATTTTCTACCTCACCTTATACCCAAGGTACAGTTATCAACAACCCTTAGCGTCTTTTATTCCCTCTGTCGTATTATTTAATTTGCAATAGTTAATATCGCAGCAGTTATTAATCGGACGGCCAATGCTCCATGTAAAGTTATTGGCCCAAAATCCACCGTTCCTAGGTTAAGGCTAGTCCCTGGCCATATATCATGCAACTCAATGGGTCAATCATAATCCCACAAATGGCGCTTGCACAAACTGCTGTACCTTGAAGCAAGATTCCGGGTGGGTCGGGTTAGCCGTAGCCATCCGGATAGCGATCTCTGATGGCTAGGCCAGCTCCGCGTAAGGAGGCCAAGCGGGTTGCTCTCCCACAGGGACAACAAAGCTGCCATTTGACGATCTCAACAGTAGTTTCATCGTCTATAAAAGGCTCGTTTCCTCTCTCTTCGAACAACAACTGTTCGAACAGCATAAGACACTTCTCACAGTGTTATCAAAACAATTTCCGACAGTTATCTTTGCCTCTACCCATCATCGCAAGATCCGGTATCTCTGAGGTCACTAGACTGAATCAAGGAAGAGTCGCAAAGTTCTTTACAAACAGCTTTGTAAATGGAGCCCGCTGATGACAGTGGACGAAATACCAGTCAGCTCTTGGGGGGCTTCGAATATAACTGGAATGATCCTAACTTAATTGAGGTCTAAGTTTCCACGTCTTGGATTGCTCCAGCTGATCGCCATAGACAATATAAAACAACAATATTACGCTACGAAATTAATCAAAGGTATTATAATTTTGAAGATAGTAGTTTCTTTGAGAGTAGTTAATTTGCAAGGGAAGTAACTTGAATAGCTGAACAGAAAAACTAATAGACTATTTTCCCCAGAGAGATCTAAGTCAACCTCTCTCTAGCAGGTACCCAGCTACTAAATAAGAGAGATAAAAACAGCAGTATTATCCTCCTTACTTATTTCAGACTATTTCATTTATCCCGCCGTGACCTTAGTACTAATAGTTAATGCAATACCAGCCCCTTTCCCTCATTTCGCATAAACCACAACTACTAACCTCAGACTTGCGACGAATCTAACCCCCCTCCATCTACTGCCCAAGTTTAAACTTAGCGCTGTTAGGAAGAGCATATTTAGCCTCAGCGGCCCCAGCCTCCGTAACATTCACCACGTGCAGTCCGCAGTACTGAAGACTGTCTGGTACGTGGCGTGGAAGTCGCTCTCTTCGATGACCGTGGTGTCCCTTTTGAGCATGCACTTCTTCTCACCCGTGAGCCTGATGAAGTGGCCGCGCCCATGGCCCCAGTCGATACAGAATTCCTTAACGCCTTCGACCTGCGTGGCGCCATGGCAGCCCTCGTCGAAGTTGGAGACGGAGTACGCCTTGTTTATATCATCGTTCCACCAGGTCCCACGGGCGCAGCAGGTAGCGCCAACAACTTGCTCCCAGTTAACGACCCAGCGGCTAGCAATGGCAGGCGTGGCAGCGAGAAGGACAGAGGTTGCGAGTAGAGAGATATGCATGTTATAGGTTGCAGGGTGGTGGGCTTTGAGTGTATAATAATGGGGATAATAACACGTAGTTCAGCAATTCGTAATAGCTAAGCGCAAAAGCAGTTTTTAGAGCTAATTGAGTGTATTGATAATTGTGTATTTTTCTAGTTTAGGTTTGCGGCGTACAAAGGATATAAATACCGCTGTGTGAGCCTCTACTTGAGCTTACAATAACATAGGACATGTCCGGACAGCTCAGAGTTCACATATGTCATTTGACTTTGTGACCCATGCGTATTGCATATTATATTATATATTATGTATTATGTATTATGTATTGTATATTGCGTATTGCGTATTGCGTATTGCATTCTGCTTACTGCATATTGCGTATTGCGTATTCTGTATTGTGTATTGCTATTAACCTAATACTTAAAGTTGTAATAAGGCGCTTAATAAGTATATGGGATTCTATGGATTTGACATATATGGGGTCTTTCTAGCAAGTATCTAACCTGGCCTGATAAGCAGTGCACTATAACAAAGTATAGGTATATATATATATATGTATATATTTTATTTTATAATTTAAGGGTAAGTTAAGGTTAGTTTAGGCTAATTCAGCAGGAATCGGGGCATTTGCATACTTGTCAGCCCGGGTTGGATACTTGCTAGAAAGTCCCTAACTTTACTGTAGATTGGCCTAAAATCTCATAGTCCCCATATCACGGTAATGGTGTTGCTTCCTTCAACTCGCCATCTGTGGGGCCTCGGCCATTGTAATAGAAGGGATCAATGCGATTACATGAACAGCCCAGCGTCTCTATGAACCTTGTAGCGAGTCGCGTGTTCGGAGTTGCGGATGTATTGTATACCAAGATGGGTCATATATTGATCGCGTGGCGCAGCCGCGAGAATGGTTGCACCCACCCCAAATGTTTACATAGGAGTACGGAATGATTATAGCAGCAGTAAAGGTTAGTGCACGCAGCTACATTGAGGATTGCCACCTCTCATATCGCATCCTCGGTGCAACAATCCCCCCCTCCCTTTTTTTAAAACAAAAGGATATAAGAGCAGTTAGTTCATTCCTTGCGGCCAATTTTGAGCCAGTGTCCTCTGCATCACAATAGTAGGCGTGACAAAATGCAGATCAACCCCGTGGCCCGAGGAATTCGGCAGTATCCGCATGCAGTAACAAGTCTTTAACGCATCTCGTTATGAGCTTCTCTAGCGCTTGGTTTCGATTTTTTAATCATAATGTATTTAGAAGAAAATGGCATATAATCTCGGCCCGAAAGATGCGGTCCCCAAAAGGGGTATGCAGATAGACATTATAAATAGAAAGCAAAATAAGCATCCCAATCAACTTCTAACTATTACTGCAAATCACAGTTCAGGTTTAATCACGTATCATCAGATATCGAAAATGCAATCATCCATCAGGACAGTTGGAGTGGTAGGCACCGGTGTTATTGGTGCCAGCTGGACAGCTCTTTTCCTTAGCCGTGGACTGAGGGTCATTGTGTCTGACCCTGCTCCTGGTGCGAAAGACCGTCTTTTTGCATACCTTCAAGATTCATGGCCGATGCTGAAGGAACTTGGTCTCCATGATGATGCATCTATATCCAATTGCACTTTCGTGGGCGAAAGCTTGGGTGATCATTGCAGTGAAGTAGATTTCATCCAAGAGGTATGAGTTTGTTTGAACATGGCTTTCATTTGTCGCTGACGAACTCAAAGAATGCGCCCGAAAGGCCAGATCTAAAGCGAGGTCTCTTGGCTCTCTTAGATGCGAAAGCGAAAAAAGATGTGGTGATAGCTTCTTCTTCATCAGGTATTCCATCGTCGCAATTTATTAGCGAGTGCCAAAATCCAGAACGTGTTCTGATTGGCCACCCGTTCAACCCGCCACACTTGGTATTATTCTGTACATGATTACTCCTTAGATCATAGCTAATTTATGGTGAAGATGCCACTGGTTGAAGTCGTACCACACGCCAAAACCAATTCATACACAGTTGATACTGCTATGTCGTTTTATAAAGCCATGGGCAAAAGCCCTGTCTTAGTAAACCAAGAATGCCCTGGCTTTGTGGCAAATCGACTTCAGGCAGCTCTTGCCAGGGAAGCATACAGCCTCGTTCATCGAGGCATTGTCTCGGCCGAAGCTTGTGGTGAGAGTTTACGACTACCACCCTGAATGAATTAAGCTGACAGAATAATGAGATATCTGCGTTACCACGGGAATCGGCCTTCGATGGGCATTTACGGGTCCTTTTATGACCAATGTTCTCGGCGGAGGGGGAGGAAAAGATGGATTTCATCGACTAATCACTCACCTGGGTCCGGGCATTCGAAAATGGTTAGAAGACATGGATGCTCATACATTCGCTTTCAGCGAGAAGGAAATCCAAGAGTTGGACAAAAGTGTGCTGCACATGTTGGAAGGGACAGACATTGCGAGTGTAGAGAGCCAACGGGACAAAGGTCTTGTCGAGCTCATCAACAGCAAGAAAGCGGCTCCTAGCTTGAGGTAACACCTACCAGAATGCGGTTCTCCAATACTTTCGTATATCCAGATGGATAGTTTCGTACACAGATACTTCTAATCAATCAAGGATTATCCAAAAAAAACTTTCAGCCCATAAGAAAAATATTTTCTCATTCTGCCATTTTATTTTGACTATAGAATTAATGTGTGAGACACGAAAATCGGGCTTCAACCAAGTCTTACAAACAAACCTGATACGCGATGACATTACGCAAGTAAAAGAGATCAAGGTACAGTAAGTAGCAATTTGCGACGCACTCGTCACGCTCCTTTCTCACATGTTTTAGATCAATGAGCAGCTGGCAAGTCAGAGTGAAGCCTGACACTCCTAGAGCCTAACGAGTGTTGAAGGCGCATGATCTGGTGCCGGGTATGCGACTGTCGAGCTCTCCGTGTGCCCCGCACCTCGGCCCGCGGAATGAAACTCTGCTTTAGTCCATCACATTTTCCAAGGGATATCAGCTGCTGTATCAAATTTGTTATTCTTCGGTATATATGGAAGCATGGGAAATCGAGCCGCAGAATTCTAATCCGGATCAGCCGAAGATGAATATTTCTCTCCTTTCCGGCTACAGTTCCCCGACTAAGTACGTCCTCGCCATTCCGCCCTTGTGTGTGTTTTTGATTGCTCACCAATGTATTTAGCGTAGTGGTTCCTTTGTACCTGGAATATTGAGGCCCGCGAGGTAGCCACTGTATAGCTCGTGCGCAAATAAACAAACGGCCCTACCACAATTTCATAACTATACGCAAACAACCAATATCTGAAATCGGGATAAAATGATACATAAAGTAGGTTTAACCAAGAACCAACGGCCGCTGCCACTAGGGCTGATGTGCGTAGGCATCAAATCAGTAGCTACCTCGTACTAAGCTATGGGAACATTCACATTCTTCGAGGTTTTGTCTAAACACGTGGGAAATTTCTACTAATTTGAAAAAGGAAAGAAAAAGCGAGAGACAATTGCCCAAAATTGATGCTAGAGTATCTCTTGAGATGAATCTTTAATGCCAAGTAATGCTGCGGTCATAATAGCAGTGAGGTACAGATGGTGTAGTCCAACGAGGAGTTGCAAAGTCAACCCCCAGCCTAACAACTGGACTGAGCAATTGCATATGTCCCCAATGACTCTTCTCAAACGTTGTCATGATCGGCGAGTCTGGGGCGAAATATTCCGGATAGACCCTCTTCCAACCATTCATCACTACCATGAGCAGCTCCGAAACGTACTGCGAAGGTTCCATACCCTCCCACTGGAAGGTCTTCTCGTTCTGGTGAACCACCTCTGGTGAATATAGCCCAATTTCAGGTAGAAGAGATATCGCATCCGCCGCGACTAGAGAACTGAGCACGCGGTAGGAACCTCCGTTGCGCGTGCGATCACGAAGAGCCATCAAAGCCCCGAGAGCTCCAACAAGTCCCGTAGTCATGTCTGAAATGGGAAGAGGTGGCAGAATACTGGTTCCATCAGTGTAACCAAGAGAACGCCCTGTCACGAAAGAGGCACCAGAGGCCGCATCTCCAATTTGCTGCCATCCAGGCCTCTCGTAGAAAGGACCGTCAGGTCCGTACGCGTTTTCTTCCACGTAAACAATCCCTTTACCTCGTTTGTTGGCCGTCTCGAGGAGGTGGTTCAAACCGTAACCTTTCCTCTCCAAGGAACCTGGCCGGAAGCCTTGGATAAAAATATCCACATCTTGAACAAGCTCCTCCAGCCGAGCTCGATCATCATCCTTTGTGAGGTCGAGATCGATGGTTCGCACTCCAGCATTCAGCGCCAATTGCAGGGCCTATGGTTTACACGAAGTCAGTTCATGGTATAAAGCCCCAAATGGAATTATATCTTACGTTTAGGTCTGGGAGTTTACTACAATTGACGCGAATCACGTCCGCCCCAAATGCAGCCAGCGTAGTTCCAATCACTGGGCCAGCAATGATTCGAACAAGTTCCACAACCTTGATACCTGCCAACGGGCGCTTGTCTCCCGGTAAGACTGGCAAAGGAGTCGGAGGTATAGGTACAGCATGGGACTGACGAGAATAATTGACAATGGGGTGGTTCTGTAGGCGCTTCCCCATCAAAGTCTTGCTCCATCCTTCTGGAGTGTAGCAGATGCTCCCACAAAACCCATTCTTCAACATAATCATCTCCAGCTCGTCTGCGGAAAACTTTTGCACTTGCTCGCGAATAAGGTCATAAGCCTCGTCCAGGGAGTCGCATTTGGTGGCAGGATCAACACCGATGGCTCGGAGGACAGGGTCCGCATCAAGGGACCCATGAAGCTGATACCAAACACCGGGCGTTTTAGTGGGATAAATGGCTGTGGTTCTCAGTCTAAGAGGGCTATCAAAAACACCCTTTTCGAAATCACGATCGAAGATAGAGGACCCCTTGCCTATCTTCACAAGCTCGCTGACATCGTATCCATTCAGTCGAATGGTGAATACAGATCCCAGCCAGATTGCAGCTTGATCGGTATTGATGATGACACTCTGATCTGCCAGCTCTTGGCCGTCACGTTCGGCAATCAGTTCATTCGCTACAACGCCACACATAGCATGAAGTGCAGCGGCAACGACGGGGGCTTTTAGGGGCCCTGGGATTATGGGTTCCTCATGGCCGTGAAATTTGACCGACTCCCACACGTCGCGATTCTTCGTAAAGTTTGGCGTCGCATTAGCAAGAATTTCGAAGACTCGACGTGCATCATCAGGAACAGCAAGAAAGCTCTTGTCGACAAAGGTGCCCGGGCCGTAAATCTCCGGGCAGGGAAGAGTTGTGTGTGTTGCAGGCATTCTAGAAGCCACTTGATTTAGGAGAGCAAGTTGAGGAGAGCAGAGTGCATGGCAGGGTAAATAGAATCGTTCTGTGCTATTTATATTCAGAAATATGTACAACTTTTACCATAGTTCAAACTGCTCTACCAACTCTTCCGTGCTGGAATCTCCGAGGATATTTGCCACCTCCCAACCGATGTCCACTTCAATGCATTTGAAGTGAATTCCGATTTGCTGATGAATATGAAATAACGTAGTATCTCAGGGATGTTCTATTGTGAACAATTAAGCGGCCGAATGTAACTGTGCCTAGTAGCAATGTAAGACCTCGGTCCGCGGAAGACCAAGGCTTTTTTTATTTCCTCAAGCGGGCGGAAGAGTGTAAGGAAATCTAGTGGCCGCCTTATTCGTCACTGATTTCCGCTTTTCTGTTTACCATCCCCAATCTTTCACTGACCGCCCTCTTAAATGTATTGGATGTTTAGTATTGGTATAAAAAGCTTGATATATGAGAGCTTGTTTCTTTTCGCCAGAGGCCTTCTTGCCATTGTAACTGGCCGTACAGATGAAGCTGGCGGATGACTGAATGGGCACCTCATGCAGGAGACTAGTAATTAGGGAGAGAACAACATCAATCATGGGCCCTAGTTTTTTGCCAACAGACATTGACTACCTCCATATCGCATACAGCTCCGTATCTTCCGCGAAGCAATCATGTGGTATTGAAGACTTGCCCACTCGGGTGAAAAGTCTTTCACTTTCTCCACTCATCAGGTTGTTCATAACCTTCTTCACTCGCCCGAAATTCGAGGTCCTCCGAGGTTCGACTTTTCAACAGTATCAAATCCGTGGGCGCTATGTCGGACAGACCAGCTACCGATCACACACTCCCCAGCCGTAGTTACCGTTGCGTTGTTGCCTGTCAGGGCTGCCGACAACGCAAGGTTCGATGCAGCTTGGCCGTTACGGGCAAGCCTTGCATTGGCTGTACGCAAGACCGGGCCGAGTGCATTGTGGTCCCAAAGCAGCGAAGGAAGTGAGTGTGAAATTGTTAATCAGAAATTGACACTATATAGTATTCCTAATTATTATGACTGCAGAGCTCAAAGGACGTACCCACGAGCCAATCGCCGCTATGACCCAGGTCCCAAACGAGGTTCTGATGTTATATGCCATCTTCCGTCTGATCACGAGTCGAATTTTAGTGTAAGCCCTCCTCCCCTCTTCGAATTCAACCGGGTGAAGTAGATCTAACACTCAAAAGATATCTTCAACCCTTGTCGGCGACTCCGGAGAAGGAGAAGGCGGAGTGTGCAATGAAGTTGATGTTGAAACATCGTCGCTGGAACAATCCCAAAATCCCAGACCTACGACTGTTCACACTGAAGATGAAGGTGACATTGAGAGTGAAGAGCAAAGCGGGTTTGAGATTGTGACGGCAGCATTTGGTCAATCTCGAAGGAATGGCCAAGTACCTTTTTACAGTGGTGAGATATTTGACCTCATGACGATCAATGACCTAGCTGATCTATTACATAGGGAGCCAGACGGGACCCGCATACACCTTGGATATTTGTTCGCCAAAGAAGCCATTATCGACACACTTTCTTATTCCATCACGTGCCCGGTCACCTCTCTCTAGCGCGGACCGAAGCTATCTTGAGGCGAAAGGAGTGCTTACGCTTCCCAAAACAAAAAGTTGTGAAAGTCTCCTTCGGGCCTACCTCCACCATGTTCATCCAATTATGCCAGTAATTGAGGTTGATCACATCTTAGAATATCACTACAATGGGAGACTTCACGAGTACAACATCTTGCTACTTTGGAGTATTTTTTCCGCTGCAGTCAATGTGGGTATTCTCAAGTCCACATGATATCATGGAGTGCTAATCAAGTCACAGTTTGTCTCTCCCGACGTATATCAGCAGGAGGGATATAAATCTCGAAAGGAAATGAAAGCTTCAATGTATTCCCGTGCCAAAGTGAGTGAATGATGGTCTTTGGTTAGCTTGAAGGATCGAGATTGCTTGACTATTTGAACACACCCACTAATTCGCTGCATCATACTAGTGCATGTATACCATCAGCGAGGAAACGGACAAAATTATCCTTATCCAATCATCTCTGCTAATGGGATTCTGGATTTCAGAACGTGATGAGTATCTGCAGCCATGGTACTGGACAGGAGCCGCGATCAATCTTTGCCAGATGCTAGGATTGCATCGTAATCCAGACTCTTCGAAATTTAATTGTGTTGTCACGGATCGACAACGGTGCCTGTGGCGCCGGCTTTGGTGGAGCTCATTTTATCGAGACTGCTGGCTTGGGATGAGTTTTGGAAGGCCACTACGAATTAACCTCGTCGATTGTGACGTTCCTATGCCAATAGCCGCCGACCTACTAATTGACGTCGCAGGAATCCCTGAAAGTACATCCGCCGGGTTCCTCCCGAGTGATTTGTCCAGGCTTGCCTCGTACTGGGTGACATTAATCGAACTGAGCAAGCAACTGGGTGCTGTCATTGCCATGAATTATCAATCTCAAAGACCAACACCAACCATCCAACAGTTTGAGTCCGTCGAATCAGAGATTCTCCAAGGCACTTTACCTGGGCAGTACGACTCTGGTCTGACCAATCTCGCACGATTCCATTCATTCCATGTTCATTTGCATTACCAGTAAGTCCCAATACCTCTTATTTAGGGAACATTATTGCTAAGCAGCATGGGAGCAGAACGCTTCTAATCTGTTTGTATCGACCTTATGGATCAAAATCTCCAACCGGCCTCGATGCTGCTGGACAAAAAGATTGGCAGCGTATGATGAGATTGAAAGCTAGTAATGCTGCATCCCAAACGGATAGTATTTTCAATACTCTCGCGGAAGACGGTCTTCTTATATTCGCCGGGCCTATGACGTGAGTATATGTGAATATTTTACTTTGTCATGCATCTTTTCCTGGCTTTGTGCAGTTGACTCAAATAGAATATCTAACATATAACAGACCCTCACTCTTAGCTGCGGCGATGCAAACGCACATGCATTTTTATGAGTCCGCGGATTTACTTACAAAACGCCTAAGGTTCCATAAACTTGAGATGTGCATGGTCATCATGGAAGAACTGCAAAAAATATATACGGTCGCTTCCATTTACCGAGGGATCTTCCTTAAGGCTCTTCAGCAGATTTGTCCCTCATACCAATCAATGATATCTGCTGGTGACCAGACAGCCAACTCAATTGCGGAAAGCAATTCTAATAACAAGAACCACATCGCCAGTGAGGCAGCTCCTGGTCAATCAGCAGCAGAATCTTTCCCTCACACCAACAAGAGCACTTCCTTCGTGAATGATCCAGAATATGGGACTGGGTTTCTTGGAGATTTTATGGGCTCATTAATTGACGGGACTTCAATGTTCAGTTTTGGGGAATTATGGAATACAATCTAACAAATGTAATGATAGATTGTCGGCTAATTTGACTCTCGCATATAACTCTCAACTATTTTCCTTATCGGCTAATGTGAAGATGGACTGGTAAGTCTTTTTTAGGCTAGAGATTTGAGTAAATAAATGCTGGGAAAAAATATCCATACTAATAAAGATCCCATACTCGGGGAAGGGGGAGACGATTATTGTCTTGACTGGAAAGAAGGAGACTCTTCAGAGCCTCATTATAACGGTTAATAGCTTCCGAAAGCGGCATAAAATTCGCTGTGAATAGAGTCTTCTTATTTGCACCGTAATGTATTCCTACTTGAACCGTAGTACTCCACGGCAACAGTCTGATTATATCATGGACGACATGTCCATTACTTTCCCCTCCAAAGAAGTGGAATGCTACACTGGATGACGGGGGGAATCCGCAAGTGACCAAAAAAAAAGGGTCTACCACCTTCACTACGAATCCAGCAGAGACAGTATCACCGCATCATAGGGCCATTAATGTAGTCTTGATCCTCTTCTACCTTTCATTCGGCGCAGCGTCATTCTCATTTAGGTACGATGACAAAGTCATATCTTCCGTCGTCGCAGCAGAATATTTCGCATGTGTTCTTCTCACCTTTCGTGTTCTGTTATGGCTATACGGCTATGGAGAGCAGCATCCTGACTTTTGCCGCAATAGGTGAAGAGATTCCGGGCCCACCCTAACCTAGCCACAGGAGAGTTCGCGCTCATTACGCGTAATCAAGACCTTGTCTTCTCTGCTCCCCTTGTCGGCAGTGTCGTGGGTGGTTTAGCCACAGCACCGCTTAGCCGTCGATCTGGGAGAAAGTGGACTCTTCTAGGATCGTACTGCTTCTCATCGTTGGGTAGTTTTCTACAGCTATTCGTGCTGAACTTGGCCACATTTGTCATTGGTCGATTCTTCACGGACTTCGTCATTGACATTGCATATACCATTGCGCCGCTGTATTTGTACGACACATTGCCCATACAAGATCGAGTCTCTATTTGAAATTGGTATCCACGTGACTCTCCATTGAAGCTTAGCTAGCACGCTTATACTCCTCTTAGCTTACCTGTACTAGGCCTAGGCGTTCTCCGCGAATTAACCTCAAGTGTCCATTGAAATCACCAGGTGTCAACTGACATCTAGCGGTTAACCCCCAGTATCATTTGTTAAAACGCACAGTCGCGCTTTTAAATCCCAGGCGCAATATCATGATTCCCACAACTGCACTCGTCAACTCGCTACCGCGTAATATTCTTGGCAAGAAGCATACACGCGCCGGGAGACCTAAGAGTCGAGGAGGCTGCATTTCGGTACGTTTACCCTGTAGGATTGTCAGTAGGTGAGATTTCCGTTTTCGGTTCAATGGGTTATCCCCCAAGTGCTCCTGAAACTGTGTATCAGGCGGTTACGCAGCGCTGTATCCTTTATTGCCATTATCTCTTGCTTGATAAAACATTTCAGTAGCTTCGTTGACTCACTCGCACTCAAGTGTAAACTGCTGCACAGAAAATGCAACGAAGTGAAGCCGACGTGCAATCAATGCCAGAAGTCCGATCGAATCTGTAACTATGGTCCGCCCAAGGGGAAGCAACCGAGCGGCATTACATTCCAAAAAAGACCGGTTCTTCCCAAACCAGAGATACCCGACGTACTTGCTACAAGAGCTCTCTATTTTCGACCTAGGGCGAGCCCCTTAGAAGCGGATGAAGTCCCATATTTTGACATGTTCAGGGCGCAAGTTCCCCAAGACTTCACATACACTCCATGCACCCTGTTTTGGAACCGTGTAATTCCTAGAGAATCCATGGGAGACGAGTGCGTGCGATGGTGTGTGTTAAGTATTGGGGCTTTAATGCTGGCACTGCGCTCCCAAAACCCTGAGCCCATGGTAAAGCTGCTCGAGGGACGCGCGGACACCATGTATCAGACTGCGATGACATACCATGCCAAAGCCACCATAACGCTCCACACACGGATGCTCAAGAAATTTCACACCATTTCACGTAGGAATGTGTTGATCAACATGGTTTTGCTCTTTCTCTTTGAGCTTCTGATAGGAAACACCAAAGCCGCCGATCAGCTACTGATGAGCAGTGTTGAGCTATTGAAGCAGAAGCAAGACCAACTTGTTGTTGAGATGAACTCGCAACACCATGCACAGGATCTTCACAATTACGTTGCGCCTTCCAACGACGATGGTTGGGACCAAGCTGAACGGATTTTGCCTCGATTTCAAATTTTTCTCAGTCTGACTACTCCCATTTTCCCCTTGCAGACAACGTGCTGGTCTAGGTTACCATCACGCCCTATCCCTGGCAATATGCCGGCTACTGATACCAGTTTCGAAGAATTCGGAGCGATGTGGAATAGCTTCATCACACGGGCTGTTATATTTGTTGTCAAAGCCATACAAGAACAACAAAATGGCGACTACTCAGACGTCTTTGAGATGCTCTCGGACCATCGGACCACCTTCCTTCGACAGTTGCAGCATTGGGAAGTAGCAATTCTACTAAGACTAGAGGCAGAGAAAAATCCCATCAGGTCATGTCTTTTTAACATATTCCATATGGGCCAAAAGGCTGTGTTCATCGTTATGAGCTGCTGTTTCGACTCGTCGGAGATGTCATACGATCAGTTCAACTCTTTGTTCCGGGAAATTATCTCCATGGCCTGCTCCTTTGAAGGTGCATCGAGGCGCTTTTCGCAAATCGAAACTGCTCTAGACATTTATACTCTCCCAGTATTAAATTTCGTGTCGCAAAAATGCAGAGACACAGCCATCCGCTCAGAAGCCCTAGACAGTTTTGATAAGATGACATTGTTAACGCGTAACTGGGATGTCAAGGCTAGTTCGCTGGCTAGACGTCAGCTTATGGCTTTGGAAGAGGAGTATCGGGACGCTTCGGGGTATATTCCGGCGAGCGGTCGATATGTGTGGACTCGTGCATCGTGGAATCATAATTATTCGAAGCTGCACATTGTATTTGCCGGCGTTATCTCTGATGAAAACGGAATACGAAAAGAAAGACATCTAAACATTTCTCGCCTAACGTTTGAAGAGCAGGGTAGATAGAGGATGTACGGCACAGTCAAACGGTCATCTTGCCCTCAGTCAATAAGTTCAACCCCAACTGTCAAAGCAATTTGATCTATCTACGGTTTCAGGTGTTACTACTATATTGCCACAATAACACATCCTCTTCACCTTGGTAGCTTGTACAATGTTCTGATCCCGTTTCTTACAAGAGATTTGGTTTGGCCTGTTTTGTGAATCTCAGATTGGTTGGGAATACGCACTTCCTGAAATGGTTAGAGGCTCTACTTTTTATCCTGTTAAACATCGTAACTAGTACCACTTGATATTAGTGCTCTCCATTGGTGCAACCGCCTCGTTGTGCATGACTGCATTTGCTATTGTTGTTGACAGAGGAGCGACCGCCGACAATGAAGCAAGTCTGCTCATGCGCCATATATTCTAGGTTAAGCATGCTTGCTCTTCTTGTATTCGCTTTATGTAGATATCTCATATTCCTTTTTTCTTTTGAAAAACAAACAAAAAAACAGAATAAAGATTCGTTATACATTTTACCGGCATTAGAGAGACAAGGATAGCTAGAAGCATTCACAGTCTGGTGTCCTTCGCGACGAGGATAAACTGTCTTCGACAGTCAACGCAAATCATTTAGCAATACTTCAACTTGCAAGCTTTTGCTGTAAGCTTACCAGCAACGTATAAGTGCTGACTACGGAGCAGACAGTTTCTGATGGTTGGGGGG